CCTCAACAAGATGGATTGGTACAGTAGCTACAGAGATGGGCTCAGGTATAGCAAGGATCATGGAGCTGGCACAGGACCAGGCAATGTTTTGTTCTGCTGTACATAGGGTTGCTATGGGTCAGAGATTACTCAATGGCACCTAACAACAACAGTCTTTCCTAATTAAATTGTAGCTTCCATTCACAAGCATTCATTAAGAAATTTCACATATATCTCTTGCATGATTCCTTTTCACTGCTCCTTTGTCTGTGTAATTTGGCATCTGAGAGTGAGAGCAGAGGGGACAGCATTAGTTTTATCTTCAGAATCAAAGATTGTTATTAGGGGATAGCATTAGTTTTACCTCCAGAATCATAGGTTGTTATTAATGGGCCTTCAGTGTACTTTACAAATCACAGTGTCTATGCATTCTTCTCCTACTACCATTTAATAATAGTAAATCATGCCTTTGCATTCCTCATATTTTCTTGTCTTTCAGGTCTTATCTTAAATGTCATCTTCTCAGAGAAGCCTCCCTTAACCACTTTATCTAAAGTAATCAATCAAACCTTACCACACCACTTTGTTTTGTGTGTCAGAACATTTACTAGCAGTTACTTGCAAATCAGGAGCTCTGGTGGCATAATGCCTAAGGCATTTGACTACTAACCAGAAGGCCACTCCTCAGAAGGAAGATTGTGCAATCTACTTCCATAGTGATACCACCTCGGAAACCCAAGGAGGGGTGGCTGTGAGTTGGATCTGACTCGACAGCAGTGAGTTTGGTTTTGGTTTTGACTTTCAATTTACTCTTACTTATGGAGACCCTATGTGTGTAAGGAGCTCTGGTAGCATAGTGCCTAAGGCACTTGACTGCTCACCAGAAGGCTGGCAGTTCAAACCCACCAGCCACTCCTCGGAAGGAAGGTTGAGCAATCCTACTTCCGTAGTGATACTGCCTCGGAAACCCAAGGAGGGGTCGCTATGAGTCAGGGCCAACTCGACGGCAAACAACAACAACAACAACATGTGTGTCAAAGTAGAACTGTGCTCCACAGGGTTTTCAATGGCTGATTTTTCCAAAGTAGATCACCAGGTCTTTCTTCTGAAGCCCCTCTGGGTAGATATGAACACCCAACTTTTCAGTTAGCAGTGAAGGAAGTTAACCATTTGTATATATTTATTTGCACGAATTATATATAATACTAATCAAAAACCAGTTGTCATGGATTTAAGGGGATTCTGGGTGTTGCAGAGTAGAACTGTGCACTACAGGGTTTTCACCTGTGACCTTTTGGAAGTAGATCTTTAGATTTGTCTTCCAAGGTGCATCTGGTGGGTTCAAATCACCAATTTTTCAGTTAGCAATAGAGTGCTTAACCATTTGTGCCACCCAAAGATTCCATAACACTTATTACTATTTATTTGGTTTATTGATTTTTCTATCTCATTGTAACAGAATATAAGATGAATGACAGCACTGATCTTGCCTTTTTTTCTCCATCACCTAGAATAGTGGGTGTTCAATAATATTTATGAAATAAGTGGATCCCTCTCTCTCTATTTCCACAACAATGTTTACTGTTTTCACAGTACCCCTTTTCTATACCTGTGATCATTACAGTCCTTATCCAGGCTGAGATGAGTTCTTCCAGGACAGGTTTTGTCTCTTCCTTTAATCGATTCTCCAAGATCATAAATCCCAGAAATATCAGGTCTGTCTCCACCTTCTCCCTTGAAATATATATATAATTGAACAAAAATAGCTATTACTTTTTTTTTTTTTTTTTTTTTTTTACTTTCTTATTGGAAGCAAGACAAAAACATTCTGTAAGAGTGGTTTCTACTCACTCAGTCAAGCACCATTCTTTAGACACTAAATATGTGCCGCAAACAATGCAGGAAGAAGACAAAAGGGAACACAAATGATACTGAGATATTTACTTTGACTGACTCAAGAGACAGATAGTACCTAGTAACCAAAAGATTAGCTTTAGCCTTTCTAGAAAATGAACTAACTGGCCACAAAGGTCTCTTCCACCTACTGTGGCTATCCTGATTGTTATTACTTCATCTATTAGTAACCACCAAAGAGAAGTTCTAGTTCTGGTATAAAACATCAAAAAAGAAAAATAAAGTGAGTCTTCAGAAAAAGAAAAGGAGACACCCATTTCTGCTGAAACCAAGGCCATACACTATTTTAACCTCAGGAGGTATGAAGCCATAATCTCAACAAACCATCAATTCTCCCCCTCCCTCAGCTGCTCTCTTGCATTGCTCTTCTGCAGAAAGTGTGAATGTTTCTGCAAGCAAACAAGGCCAGGCCTCTGAACACTTCCAAAACATTCCAAAGGGCCATCTCCAGGGAAGTACAGTTAGGGCAGTGGTTCAAAAATGCCACATGATTCATTCACTTGGAACCGAGAGACCTATAGACATAAGAGCAAGACACCAGCACTGCTTAATTTTGGCTGAAAAACAAGGAAGGAGCACCTATCCCCCTTGCTTTGTCTGTCCTGTGGGTTTCAATGATGGCCCTCACATCTGCCAGGGGCATGGAATAGCATCAGTGATGCTCCTGTTGTTGTTGTTATGTGCCGTCGAGTCGGACCCGACTCATAGCAACCTCTCCTTGGGTTTCCTAGACGGTATCACTACGGAAGTAGATTGCCCAACCTTCCTTCCAAAGAGTGGCTGGTGGGTTTGAACTGACAGCCTTCTGGTTAGCAGTCAAGTGCCTTAGGCACTACGCTACCGGATGCTCCTAGGAAACTGCCAAAACCTCCACAGTCACAGAAAATAAGATAGTTTGAACCACTCACTTCAGAGCAGGCTTGGAAGGATGGCCTTCCCTTTTCTTCTGAATTAGATATTCAGAGTTCTCAAGGATCTGGTTCCAAACTACATTTTCAGCATTATCTACAGCAAAACTCTTCACCCACCCTGGATGCCAGCCAAGTTGGACCACTCACCATTCCCTGAACATGCTCTGTTCTTAGTCATCTCTAGACATTTGCTCTAGAATGCCATAATGAGTTCTTCCTTATTTGTACAATGAAAAGGTTACAGGTTCCCCATGATCTACCATTGAAAGCTTTCTTATGCTTTGAAGTACAAATCACATGTCACCTGCTCCATAAGGGCCTCCACAGAAAAATAATTACTTTCTCAACATATTACTTCTAGCTCAGTTTCTCTCTTAATTTATTTGTCCATACATTGTCATTATTTGTTTTCTAATCTGTCTCTCTGTCTTATTCCTTGATAGCAAGGACCACTTGATTCAATTCTGTGTTCAACCACACCCACGTGTATCTGACACACAGGAGTGCTCACCCAATATTTGCCTGACTGGAATGCTCTCATTCCTGTCCCAACAATTATTTTCCAGGAAAATTCACTTCCTCTTTCAGAAATTTCAGTATTAGTGAGTTCTCATTGGGATCCCAAAGTCAATCAGTCTGTCACGTCAATAAGCATTTACTGTTAGCTTAATAAGAACAAGGAACAGGATTAAGGAAAAAAAGGAGAGAATGTAGTAGCCTCTGACTCCACAGGTTTCACATAGACTGGAAGGAAAAGATTAGACATGGCCACCATGGTTAAATGGAAGGCTTGTATCAGTACTTTGAGAAATGTATAAATCAGAGTCCCATGGGCTCAAGAGAAAGAGAGAAGAATTAATTTTTGGTCGAGCGATTGGAGAAGCCTTCCTGGAGATGATATTTGATGGTAGTTATGTGTCAACTTGTCTGGGACTGTTTTTGAGTGGCTGGACAGCTGGATGTAGTTATTCCACATGGTGAGATTGGTAATCAACTCCTTGGTGGAATCTACTGGAGCAGCTGAGCAGCTGCCTTAGGGATATGGTCTCTTTCCAGTTTATAAAGAGAAGTGTTGAGAATGGTCTGCAGCCTTTTTGGCACAGTTGGACCCTGTATGTATCTGAATCTTCATTTGTTGTTGTTGTTGTTATGTGCCGTCGAGTTGGCCCCGACTCATAGCGACCCCTCCTTGGGTTTCTGAGGCAGTATCACTACAGAAGTAGGATTGCCCAACCTTCCTTCCGAGGAGTGGCTGGTGGGTTTGAACCGCCAGCCTTCTGGTTAGCAGTCAAGTGCTTTAGCCACTATGCTACCAGAGCTCCTGAATCTTCATTTAGCAGCCTGTTATGTTTCCTGCCAATCTTGGGACTTTCTCTGGACTTGAACAAGTAGCCTGCCATAGTGTTTGGTAATATTAGTACTGTGCCATTTTATTTATCGACCTTGGGTTTGTTAGCCTCAGCAGCCAGCAGCTGCCTGAGTGAAGAGATACCTCTAGCTTCAGGGCAGGGAACAAGGGGCAGAGGTGAAGCCTGAGTCCTAGGGGCTTTCACCCAGGCCCTAGAACTTGGCACTTTGAACTCAGACTCCTAAATTGTAAGAGAATAAATCCCTATTTGTTAAAGCCACCCATTTGTGGTATCTTCTGTTATATATAAATATTGTCAACAATGATATGATATGGGCCAACCAGGAAGTGCCAGATTGGCCAAGAAAATGACTCCATGGACAAATGTCTCCTTGGCACTCATTTCTGGTTCTTTTGGCTCACAGTCTTTGTAGGGTTCAATGCACAATAATCAGGAGACCAGAGTTCTAACCCTAGCTCTGCCATTGCCTTGTTGAAAGATCATGGGTAAATCACTTTCTTTGTCTGATAATCTATTTCTTGTTTTGCAAAAGAAAGGGATGGACTTAACACTTCTCCAAGGTCTCTTCTAGTCTAGCATTACATGATTCTTCTTTTCATAAGCATTCATACTGAGCCAAGAAATAAAGAGAAGAAGTAGTCCCTTGAGGGATCTCAAGCTCTGAAACTTGGAATAGTATGCTATCTCCCTGACACACACACCAAAGCTCTTAAACATAATAAAAAGTGATGAGCACAATACAAAGGGAACATTCATCCCTGTGGTTACACTTCTTGTTCTTAACATCAATGTGACTTCTAAAGGATGAAATATACATAATCCTCAAAGAGATTATGATATTAGTGCTGGAAACACCCTGACTAACCAGGTAAAATAGAAAGAATGTTCTTCCCTAATCAAGGATTAACAAAGGTTAGGTACGTTAATTTAGCTATGCGTATACATGGTAGTGGTGTGCCTTTAAAACAAGAGAGGCAAATTGATGATCTAAAATCAGAGCCTATTACTGAACTGTGTTTAGATCTCAGATTCTGAAAAGTTCAAATATCAATACCTTTGACCAGGACATGTGCTCTCTAGTGTGCCTCAGCCCTCACCCTTCCCTATTGCCACCAACATGAGTGCCTCATCTATGTACACAGCCCCCATCACTTTCAGTTTGCAGCTCATAAACAAGTAAATATTTTATTAACCTAATTGAAAGCAGCAGCACAGTAGCCACAACTTTGATATATTTCTGACAAGCAGGCTCTTGAGAAATTAAGTGCCTTTCACAAATCTGTCACATCCCTTCCTTGATCCAAGTTTTCTCTTCTCTAAAATGTGAAAGCCAATCTCAAAGTCCACTTTCACCTCTCTGTTTTGAGTGACCTTAATCTAAGTTGATCTGCCACAAGTGTCAAAGTTTCAGGGGTAAGCTGGCCCCAGGAAGAGTAGCCTGAAATGCCCAGAAATCCAGCACTCAATGAACTTAGTAGGCCTAGTCACAAAGGGGCAGGGTGGAATCACATCAGTGATACTCAGCAAGGGCGTACTGCCTGTACAGCACATTATGGGAATTTGTGGGGGTGTCTATACAAGCTTTTCTGCAATGTTCAGTGCACAATTAGGAATTATCCTGCACTCTTTTGAATATTTTACTAGACATTCAAGGACATTAAAAAATTGTTTCTAATTTCCTGAGCCTGTTCTATATATAAACACAAAGTATTTTTGTACAATAATATCCTATTGAATTTTCCAGGAATGTACCTACCATGTAAACTGAGAGTAGATTGTACTGTTTTGTTCAGAAGGTTGCCAACAGTTTTTAACTACTTCACAAAGTCACCTTACTGATAGCAAGACTACTTGTGGTATTTGAGACTCCAATATATAACACTCCTCTGTCAGTTTATATTTGTAGCTGTGGCATCCACAAGGACTCTCTTCACAGGTGCAAACAACTTACTACTTCATTTTATTTTAGTAGAATCTACTGAGCATTTATTAAAATATGTATTTTTTTGTAATGTATTTTATTTTTTGCTTCTATTTTTACTATACGGGTAGGGTATTACTTTCTTTTTTTACAGAGAATATATGCAGATAATGTTATACATAAATTTAATTTAGAATATTAAAATATTACAAAATATAATACCAAGAGAGTGCTGAGTCTGATGGGAAAACAAATGTATTAGAAATCTTATATTTCAATACTGTGAGTTTGGGTCTAAATAACAAAAATCATCTTTAATTATATCCACAACAATATTACCAGTAGTGGCTAACATAGAGTATTGGACATGGCATTGAAGGCAGAATAAATAAGGTAGGCTAAAAACAATGAAAATTTAGGGGAAAAAAGGGAATTTGGACTAATAAATGCTCCAATGTGTTTCAGCTTTGGGACATCCCTATGTTAATATATGCATGTAAAAACTTTCTCTAGAATTTTCCCTCAAAAGCTGTTCTTTTAACTTTTTTTAAATCTTTTAACTTTTTTCTTAAGTTTTTCTGCAAACATTACCTAGATTATGTGTTAAATCCAAGCTATATTTATTTGTTTAATTAAACTGTGCATTTATTATAAAGAATTTTTTCAGGCAATTATTGCTTTATAGCATTCAACCAACCCACCCCTATACTAAAAATATCACCTGCTTGTATTTGGTTCAAAATGGGGACACTATCATAATTTCAAACTCTCTAAAAATTGGTTATTTCATACATGTGTTTTCATAAAGCCTTACAATGACACCACATTTTACAGTTTGCACAGCTATTTCTTATACATTCTCCAAGTCAGTGATCTCATCAGCCTTGTGATTTAGGCAGGGCAGGGATGACCATGTTGCCATTTACCAACACTCAGAGACATTTTCTGCACAGCAAGCTTTCTGGGTCCACAGACCCTACCCCATGAATCTCATCCCAGTCTGGTGCATTTTTCTACCAAACCATTTTGCTTTACACAAATGCTCCCCATTTACCTCGTCAAGGCAGTAATGTGGTGATCACTTTCCAATTTCTTGTAGGCCAGTGCTATGACCCGGAAGCCCTGCATCGTGTAAATCTGAAGTTCACCAACGAAACTAGTTGGTACTGTTCAGAAAACAACACAGGATTAGTATGCAATATTTATTCAGGTGGTGTCAAATGAGAATTTCTATACAAACAGCCCCAACTCCTACCCAAGAAAACACACTTGAAAAAAGGTACCCCTGCAAGTCATTGGAGTTCTAAACTCAACTACATTGTCAGAGTTGATTTCTTGGGATGTAGTGAAGCTATAAGGAGAAGGAAGCATTAAGGGAAAAAAAGGAAAAGAATGGATATAGAGCAGGAAAGTTTTTCCCTAGTTTAACTAATAAACATCTACTGAGTGTCCAGTATGAGCAGGTATTGGGTATGCAGATACTAATATGCAGACCTGTTATAAGGAATTTTGTCTCATGGGTTGACAGCCATCAGACCAATAATTACAATCAAATTAAATAATTCTTATAATTCAGGTGTTATGAATTGAACTGTATCCCAAAAATGTATGCTAAAATTCCTATCACTGGTACTTGTGGAAGTGATCCTATTTGGAAATAGGGTTTTCTTTTGTTAATGTGATCATACCAGATTAGGGTGAGTCCTAAACCTAATCCCCTCTGAGTGGTGTGTTATTAAGGCGACACAGAAAGACAGATACACAGGAGAAGACACTATGTGATGATAGAAGCAGATACATCTATAAGCAGCAAAGCAATGCCAAATACTGCTGGCAGTCACTAGAACCTAGAAGAGAGCCCCAAAGAAAGAATCAACACAACAATCAATACCCTGATTTGGACTTTTAGCTTCTAGAACTGTGAGAAAGTAAATTTCTATTCTTTAAAATCACTAACATTTGCTATGGCAGCTCTAGCAAACTACCTAAAGTAAGACACCAGAAAATCACAAGGCTCTATGGACACACTTGGTAGTGCATGAACCAGAGTGGTTAAGTAAAGGAGGGAACAGGTATTTGGGCTGAGGCATGCAGGCATGATAGAGCAAATCTTGCGTATTTAGTTCAGCTCAGGAGAAGGAAAAGATGTAAGGAGAAAAGTGTATCTAGAGAGTTCTGTAGAGAGAAGGAATCCCTGAGTGGTGCAAACAGTTAACGAGCTCAGCTGCTAACCAAAAGTTTGGTGGTTTGAGTGCACACAGAGGTACCTGAGAAGAAAGTCCTGTCAATCTGCTTCTAAAAAACATGAATTATTGGAAACCCTATGAAGCACAGTTCTACTCTGACACACACGGACTCATCTTGAGTCACATTCAACTCAACAGCAACTGATGTATAAGGATCAGATCATTAAGGGAGCTCTGGTAATGTAGTACCTAAGGCACTTGACTGCTAACCAGAAAGCTGGTGGTTTAAACCCACCAGCCACTCCTTGGAAGGAAGGTTGGGCAATCTACTTCCATAGTAATACCACCTCGGAAACCCAAGGAGGGGTCACTATGAGTCAGGTCTGACTCAACGGCATATAACAACAACATAGCATCGTAAAGGAGTTTGGGATTATCCTGGTGCCTATAGGAAGTAACAAAAAAAAAAAAAGAAAGAAAGAAAGAAAGGTAAGAAAATAACAATATACTATGTGAGAGAAAGACCAATTTAGGTGGTCACAGTATGGAAGGTAAATAAGAGTAGGGGAGATTGGGAGCAGGGAGTCAATTTGCCAACTATTGAAGTGATCCAGTCAAGGGGTGATGGCCTGCACTGAGGTAGTGACAGAGGCCATAGATTAACCACTGACTAGATAAATAGAGGCACTGAGGGAGAGGGAGGAGTACAATGACTCCAAAGTAGAGAGTGATAGTGACACTGGTCACCAAGATGGGAAATAGAGGAACAGAAAAGATAAGCTTGATTTTAGTATTGTTTGGGATGTTGATATGTCATGGATCAGGTGCAGAGAGAACATATTTCATCTAGAAAAACAGATTTGCCAGTTATAATCCAAGTCTATTCACTTACCTGTCTCAGGTTGGCAAAAGCTGGCCACCTTCTCCGGTGCACCTTTCATGAATACCAACTGGTCACCACCCATCTCTTGAACAATGACTGTCATCCTCTGCAGTGCTGATGAGAATGGGAACTGATGCAGGATTGCAATTCCTTCCACTGGGACCTGGTTAGGGGATGGGGGAATGGAGAAGGCATACCAACATAGTTTCTAGCTATTGGAAATTACAGAATCTTGTCTCAATGCTGATTTTAGCAAATAAAGGAAACAAGGATTCACCAAATTTTCACATGTGGGATTCAAATAAGACATATCAGTGACCCTCTAGGAACTATGGGCCTAAATAGAGTTTGCTTTCATGTTTGGTTCTTGGGAGGTGCATAGTGGGTGAGCAATGCTTACCTGGCTGGCTGTTTTACGGGGCTTAACTACCATGGCATGGGCTGGCACTCCTTTGATGTGGAAATCATCCCCAGAACTATCCATTTCCTGTTTCAAAAATGGGATATTTCATAGCAGAGATTTAATTTTTGCCCACCCACTGGTAGTATGTTCAAACACTTACTATGAGAAAATCCTCAGACCACCTCAATGTATTCTTAATGTCTCCTCCCTCAGGTGGATGGAGATGAGCCAAACTTATCTCCCAGCAGAAGAAAATAATGCATGGGAAATGCTGTGAATTTGAAGAGCAGACATTTCTGAATTATTCATGCAATTTATCCTGCTTCCTCCATTGGAATGTGCTGTATAAAGACTCAATCTCCATTTCTGAAGAGCTTCACTTGAAAGTAGTGAGCATGAGTAGCCGAGTCTTATTTTCCATGAAGCAAGTACCCCAGTCTTGCTTCTCCTGGAGTTCATTGTTGTTTCTGCCCTTTCCTATCTGTTTAACTTGGATTGGTAGTCAATCCTGGGGACAGTGCAGGGGGGCAGGGCTGTGACATACATGATTAAATGTTCAACAAACACTCAGTAATTGTTATAATAAAGACCTCAAATTATAATCAAAGAAACTTTACCCAAAGATATCAACAAAATGCTTTTTAATCATCTCATTAAGTAGTTAAAAAAATCTCAGAGAGAAAATTTTAATCTCTGCTTAAAGATAAGACAACAGTAGTCAAAAAATGATAGAGAATTAACAAAGTTTAGTCAGACTGCTGCAGAATTATGCACTCTTCAAGTTGGTTGTTACTGCCTTCAAGTGACTCATGACCAACCTATGCATGACAGAACAAAATGCTGCCAATTCCTGTGCCATCCCCATGATCAGTAGCTTTCGGAAGTAGATTACTAAACCTTTCTTCCTACTCCATCCTAGTCTGGAAATGCTGCTAAAACCTGCTCAGCATTGTGGCAACATACAAGTCTTATCCACAGAGAGATGAGTGGTAGATGTGTACAAGATGCATTGGCCAGGAATTGAACCCAGGCCCTTCACATGGAAGGTGAGAATTCTACTCCTGAACCACCACTGCCTCCATACTATATTTGGAAGAGATCTTAAAGATTGTCTCCTTCAATGGTGTTCATGTTTGTGTAGGGCTAGAGCTGCATGCAGCTGGGTGTGTAAGGGGGAGGAAGGTCACAGAGTTGGGGACAACTAGTAGCTAAGTAGATGGATGTGTGCTCTCTAAACCCCATCTTTACTTCTCATCTTCTATTTCAACCAGACGAACTCCAACTAATTGTTTGGTATACTGTGCTTCTGAATAAGGCCTATTCTTAAGAAAACATTCCAGTGCTTTGTTTTGTTTTGTAAAAACTGCTGGTCTTATTCAATACCCTCATTCTGTTCTCTTGGAATCCAAAATCCCAACAAGAGAGATGACTTCATAGGCTCAAGCAACCAGAGCAAAGCTGAAAACTAGAACCCAGAGATCTAGATTCCTCATCTAGAACTACAGCAGTTGCTCCTAAATCTAGTTCAAAATCTGAAAAAAAGTTCTTTCACAGTTAACCTTTTTATTGTTTCCAGTCTTAGGAAAAAAATCAATACTAAATTAATAAGAATAAAATCCTGGTAAAAAAATGAGTCTATGAGTTATCCTAAGCACTGGGGACAGTGGTGTTTCCTAGTCCTTATGTTCTAGGAAACTTGAAACAAGACATTGCCCAGAGTACTGAACAATAATCATATAATGATTATTTCCCAATATTTGAGAAATAATTAGGTAATAATTATAATTATATTAGTACTATTGAACCTGTACTATATAACAAGTACAGTACTAAGCATTTTTTAATTCATCATCTTATTTAAACCTCACAGTACTCAACAATGTAGATATTATATTAGCTGCATTATACAGATGAGGAAACCAGGCTTAGACTAATTTCCCTTTCACTACTATATGGACTCTATTTCAGAAACTACACATTTTATAAGTTTTAAATGGCTGTGTGTTGCTCTGGAGTTGAAGAAGTTTCTTAGATTCTCTGCTGAGTATAGGCTTACCCACGTGGTGGCTTCAAACATTTTGAGGTCCAGTGGATCTCCCTGGATGGTCCCATCAAGAAAGACAAGAGAGTGGCAACTTGCCATGGCTGCACACAGCGGGCCCCATGGCAAAGCCTTGCCAGAGGCAAAACTGTGGACTTCCTGGAAGCTAAAGAAGAAAAGGGAAATGGCTTCAGTCCTATTCCCCCAAGCCCAACTGGAGCTTCCTGGAGATTGTTGTTGTTGTTGTTACGTGCCGTTGAGTCAGCCCGACTCATAGCGACCCCTCCTTGGGTTTCCGAGGCAGTATCACTACGGAAGTAGGATTGCCCAACCTTCCTTCCGAGGAGTGGCTGATGGATTTGAACCGCCAGCCAAATACCTTAAAATAATTCAATGCTTTATTATATTACAGATCCATTCCCCAATCCTCCAAATTAATAGTGTTTTATTCAGCCATTGCCCTTAGGTAGGTTCAGTGAGTTTGAGAAATGTGGTCCATAATATTCATTGAAGCTCTTCCTTCCCTCTTTTCCTCTCCTTCTCTGGCACTGATTTACTTCACATACATGGAGCTTCCACCTTCAAAGACTAGACTGCTTCTTTAGAGCTCTGGGAGACAGAGCAGGCTAGTTTTGTGCATAGTTGTGTATATATGCATCTCCTTCAATCAGTATTTTACAAACAAATAGGGGTTGTGCCTTCCATATCTCTATGTCCACTATTTTTGATGTATGGTCCATAGTAGACAATCAAAAAAATTATGATTAAATGAATTAATTAGTTGGTTATTGGAAATCTGCAAGACCTTAATTGTAAAGAAATGAACATTTTTCAAATAGAAACTCAATCATCTCTTCTTCCACTCTAGCCTCAAGTGTCCATACTCAGTTACCACCCTAATACTTCCTATAAAAAGTCACTGCTATGGATTGAATTGTGTCTCCCAAAGATATGTGTTGTGAATCTTGACTCCTTTAACGGTGGTCATAACTCTTTTTGGGAAGACGTTCTCTTTGTTATGTTAATGAGCCACTATTAGTGTAGAGTGTGTCTTTGTTGAGACATAAATGAGCAGAATAAGCAATCAAGCAGAAATAGGGGAAGATGATGCCACACCCAAGAACAGAAGCTGAAAAGACATAAGGACCTTCCCTTAATACCAACTGAGAGGGAAAGCCTTTCCCTAGAACCAGTGCTCTGAATTCAGACTTCTGGCCTCCCAAACTATGAGAAAATAAATTTCTTTTTGTTAGAGTTCGTGGTATTTCTGTTTTGGCAACACTAAGTAACAGAGACAGTAGCCTCATATAAAATTGACTGAGATATGACTCAAATCTTCTTTGCAAACTCCTTGGTCAGTCCCTGCTTAAAGGAAGAAGCAACCCACTTTATTTAGAGAACCTCCAAGTGACAGAAGATTCTTTCTTGAACTACAAAATACCATAAATCAGTCTTTAAAAGAATTGAAAAGAGAAAGAGGCAAATCCATAGCAGTAGGTGACTTTAATACACCACTTTCAATGAAGGAAAAAACAACTAGAAAGAAACTCAACAAAGACACAGAAGATTTAAACAACACACTTAGTCAGCTAGAACTCAAAAATGTATACAGAACATTCCATCAACACAGAATAATATATATTCTTTTCCAGGGCATATGCAATATTCTTCAGAATAGACCATATGTTAGATTGTAAAGCAAGCCTCATTACATTTAAAAACATAGAAATCCTACAAAGCATCTTCTCAGGTCACCATGCTATAAAGATAAAAAATAATGACAGGAAAATGAAGGGAAAAAATCAAATACATGGAAACTGAATAACACTCTGCTTGTAAACTACTGAGTAATAGAAGAAATAAAAAATAGAATAAAAAAATTAATTGAATCAAGTGAAAATGAAAATGCAACATACCAAAATCTTGGGGACACAGCAAACAAAGCATTGAGAGAACAATTTATAGCAATAAATGCAACCATCAATAAAGAAGAAACACCTAAAACCACCACCTTAATCCAACATCTCCAACAATCAGAAAAAGAACTAAAAAAAAAAAAAAAACCTGCAGTCACCAGAAGAAAGGAAATAATACTAAAGATTTGACAGAAATAAATGAAACAGAAAAACAGTAGTAATAACCAGTAACACTAGAAGCTGATTCTTTAAAAGGATTAATAAAATTGATAAACCACTTGCAAATTTAATAAAGGAAAAGAAGGAGAAGATGCAAATAACATGAATAAGACATAAAACAGGAAATGTGACATCAGGACCAAATGAAATTAAAAGGACAATAACAGAATACTATGAAAAATTGTATAAAATGAATCGGAAAACTTAGAAGAAATGGACAAATTTCTAGAAACATACTACCTACAAACAATCTGAGGTAGAAAAATTGAACAGACTCATCACAAAAGAATAAATAAAATAGATCATTAAAAAATTTCCAACAAAAATAAGTCCTGGCCCAGATGACTTCACTGAAGAATTCTACCAAACATTTAGGGAAGAGCTGACACCAATTGAACTCAAACAATTCCAGAACACAGGAAATGATAGAATATTCATGAACTCATTCTATGAAACAAGCATAACCCTGATACCAAAACCAGGCAAAGACACCACTAAAGAAAGAAAACTATAGATAATATCCCTCATGAATATAGACACAAAAATTCTCAACAAAATCCAAGCCAATAGAATCCAACTACATATCAAAAAAAATAATATATCATGACCAAGCAGGATTCATACCAAGTGTGCAAGGATGGTTCATATTAGAAAAACAATCAACATAATCCACCACATAAACAAAAAAAGAAAGAAAGAAAGAAAAGAATGATGTGATCATATCAATTAATGCAGAAAAAGGCATATGGCAAAATCCAACACCCATTCTTTATAAAAAAGCTAAGCAAAATAGGATTAGAAGGGTAATTACTCAGCATAATTAGTGACATATACACATAACGAATGGCCAACATTATTCTCAATGGAAAAAGACTGAAAGCATTCCCCTTATGAATGGTAACTAGACAAGGATGCCATTTATCACCACTCCAATCCAATATTATACTAGAAGTACTAGCCAGAGTAGTAAGGCAAGAAAAGGAAATAAAAGGCATCCAAATTGGCAAAGAAGAAGTAAAAAAAGCTTTATTTGCAAATGGTATGATCCTATATATAGAAAATCACAGAAACTCAACAAGAAAACTACTGGAAGTAATAGAAAGTTTCAGCAAAGTGACAGAATAAAACAACAACATATGAACACCATTCAGATCCCTCTACAGTAACAAAGAGAACTCTGACAAAGATATCAGAAAAATAATACCATTTGCAATAACCACCCAAAAGATGAAATACTTAGGAATATCTAACCAGAGATACAAAAGACCTATACAAAGAAAACTACAAAACACTATGACAAGAAACCTTCCGAAATCCAAGAATATATCATGCTCATGGATAGGAAGCCTTCACATTGTGAAAATGTGAATACAGCAAAAGTGATCTAGAGATATACTGCAATCCAGATTCAGATCCCAATTTCATTCTTTAAAGAGATGGAAAACCTAATCAACAACTTTATATGAAAAGGAAAGAGACCCCAGATAAGCATAACATTACTAAAGAATAATAAAGGAGGAGGCATCACACTCCCTGATCTCAGAAGCTACTATACAGCCACAATAGTCAAAACAGCCTGGTATTGGTACAACGACAGGAACATAGACCAATAAAACAGAATTGATAATCTGGAAGTAAATCCATCAGCCTATGGACAGCTGATCTTTGGCAAGGGATGAAACTTATTAAATGGGGAAGAGGGAATCTCTTTAACAAATGGTGCCACCCTAACTGGATGTTTGTTTGCAGAAAAAATGAAACAGGATCCATATCTCTCATCACATACAAAAACTAACAAAAATGTAACAAAAACCAAAATGTAAAATCTAAAACAATAAAGATCATCAAAGAAAAACCAGGGACGAATATAGGGGCTCTAATAAATGGCATGAATAAACTATCAAACATAACTAAAAACGCACAAACAGCAGGAGACAAATAGATGACTGGGAACTCCTAAAAATTAAACATTTATCCACTTCAAAAGACTTCACCAAAAAATTAAAAAGAGAACCACAGACAGGATAAAAAAAAAAAAAATGGTAACAACATATTGAACAAGGGACTATTCTCTAAAACAGATAGAAAACTTCAATACCTCAACAACAAAAAGACAAATAATCCAATTTAAAAATGGGCAGACAACATGAGCAGACACTCCCCAAAGTAGATATTCAGGCAGCCAAGAAACATATGAAGAAATGCCCACAATCATTGGCCATTAGAGAGATGCAGATCAAAACGACAATGAGAAACCATCTCACCCCAGCATTAATAGCAAAGTTAAACAAAACAGAGATCAACAAATGCTGGTGAAGGTGTGAAGAGATTGGAACCTTCATACTGCTGGCAGGACTGCAAAATGGTGCAACCACTGTTGAAAATCCTATAACATTTCCTTAAAAAATTGAAATAGAAATATCATATGATCCAGCATTCCCACTTGTTCTTGTTTGTTGTTATGTGCCGTCGAGTCGGACCCGACTCACAGCGACCCCTCCTTGGTTTTCTAAGGCAATATCACTACGGAAGTAGATTGGCCCGTCTTCCTTATTCCCACTTGTTGTTGTGTTAGGTGCCATCAAGTCATTTCTGACTCATAGCGATCCCATGCACAGCAGAACGAAACACTGCCCGATCCCACACCAGCTCCATGATTCCTGTTATACTTGAGCCCATCATCGCAGCCACTGTGTCAATCCATCTCCTTTAAGGCCTCCCCCTCTTTCATCTACCCTCCACCTTACCAAGCATGACATCCTTCTCCAGGGAATAGTCCCTTCTGACAACATGACGAAAATAGGTGAGATGAAATCTGGACATTCTCGTTTCCAAGGAGCATTTCAGGTGCACTTCCTCCAGGACAGATCTGCAGTCCATGGTACTTTCAGCATTGTTCGCCAGCACCACAACTCAAAAGCATCAACTCTTCTTCGGTCTTCCTTATTCATTGTCCAGCTCTCACATGCATACAAGGCGATTGGAAATATCATGGCTTGTGTCAGGCGCACCTTAGTCCTCAAGGAGATAT